CATCCTGGAGCTTGTTCAGGCTGTAGAGGTTCCCCACAGAGGAGAGGAGGTTGACCTCTGTGGCATTGTCCAATCTCATCTTGTCGACATACCACCAGGCAAGGCGTGTGTCGGGCAAAGAGCATCCCACTTCTTTCATTCGGCTTATACCTGTCGGTCGAACTCCTGGTTGAAGTCCCGGATGTCCTGGTTTGCCCCCCTTTTGAGCACCTTGAAGAAGTCAGGCATGTAGCGACCCACTTTAGTGACTTCTCGATCCATGTACTTGTCCTGGATCCAGGATAGAAAGATCTCCACCCCGTTCTCGCCAGATGTAGCCCTTTGCTTTCAAACCATCACGGTCATCTTCTCCTGAGTACTCGGGGACCTGGATCTTGTCGTGACCACCGGCCCCCCCCGCGACGGTCTTCTCCACCTTGCCAAGGGTCTCCACCGTGCGAGGTCCACCAAGATCACCCTGAGCACCACAAGTAATGGTGGGTGCTGCAGAACCCTCTAGCGAAGAAGACGGCCCACCGAGGGTGGCTCGTGGGGTCTACTATAGGGGGCAATTGGAGGACGCTATGCCTTCACCTGGAGGTGCCAGGGTTGAAGAACCAGAACATGATGGAGGAGAGCGACCCGAAGAACAAGAAGGCGCCGGATCGATGAGGACTTCCGAGAGGTCTTGGGAACGGAGAGAATGGTCGGAGGCTGAATGGAAACAATGGAACAGTTACTATGTTTGGGGAGCAGCACCTAGCGGTGGTGGCGGTTCAGTCCAGAAAAATGGAACGCGGACTTCACGAAGTCCAGCAAAAAGTACCCTAGAAGCTGTGCCCAAAGAGCACAGCGCCGGCTCAACGCTACCAATGTAAACTGAAAGGGGCGCGGTCCTTTTACCTCGAGAAACCCTTGTGCCTATACGGCATGCGGTCAGCAGGATCAACAGAGGGGTCACTCATCGACAAGTAGTAATGCCCTTTGCTACTAGCAACTGCTTGCTACTAGTAGTAATGCCCTTTCCTACTACTAGCTTCTTGCTACTAGTAATTCCCTTTGTTACTAGTAGCTTCTTGCTAATAGTAGTAATGCCCTTTGCTAGCTAGTAGCTTGTTGCTACTGCTCCTAGTAGTAATGCCCTTTGTTAGTAGTAGTGCCGTTTGTTACTATTAACTTCTTGCTACTAGTAGTGATGCCGTTTGCTACTAGTAGCTTCTTGCTACCAGTAGTAATGCCCTTTGCTACTAGTAGTAATGCCGTTTGTTACTGGTAGCTTCTTGCTACTAGTAGTAATGTCCTTTGTTACCAGTAGCTTCTTGCTACTAGTAGTCATGCCCTTTGTTACTAGTAGCTTCTTGCTGCTAGTACTAATGCCCTTTGCTACTAGTAGTTATGCCCTTTGTTACTAGTAACTTCGTGCTACTAGTAGCAATGCCCTTTGCTACTAGTAGCTTCGTGCTTCTACTGGTAGTACCCTTTGTTACTAGTAGCCTCTTGCTACTAGTAGTGATGTCCTTTGTTGCTAGTAGTCCCTTGCTACTAGTAATTTCCTTTGTTACTAGCCGCTTCTTGCTACTATTAGTAATGCCTTATGCCCTTTGTTAGGAGTAGCTTCTTGCTACTAGTTGTAATGCCCTTTGCTACTTCTTAGTACTAGTAGTACTGCCCTTTGTTACTGGTAGCTTAATCCTACCAATAGTAATGCCCTTTTTCACTAGTAGCTTCTTGCTATTAGTAGAAATGCTAGTTCTTTTCTACTAGTAGCAGTGCCCTTTGTTACTAGTAGCTTCTTGGTACTAGTAGTAATTCCCTACGCTACTAGTAGCAAGGTAGCTTCTTGCTACTAGTAGTCATGCCCTTTGTTACTAGTAGCTTCTTGCTACTAGTAGTAAGGCCCTTTGTTATTAGTAGCTGCTTGCGCTAGTAGTAATGCCCTTTGTTACTAGTAGCTTCTTGCCACTAGTAGTAATGCCCTGTGTTGCTAGTAGCCTCTTGCTACTAGTAGAAATGCCCTTTGTAACTAGCATTTTTTTGCCACTAGTAGCAATGCCCTTTGTTACTAGTAGCTTCTTGCTGCTACTTGTAATACCCTTTGGTACCAGTAGCTTCTTGCTGCTAGTAGTAGGGGCCTTTTTTACTAGTAATTTCTTGCTACTAGTAATAATGCCCTTTGTTACCAGTAGCTTCCCGCTACTAGAAATATTGTAGTAGCTTTGCGCTACTAGTAGTAATGCCCTTTGTTACTAGCAGCTTCTTGCTACTAGTAGCAATGCCCTTTGTTACTAGTAGCTTCTTGCTACTAGTAGTTGTGCGCTTTGCTAGCAATAGCTTCTTGCTGTTAGTAGTTGTCCCTTTGTTACTAGTAACTTCTTGCTACTAGTAGTAATGCCCTTTGCTACCAGTAGCTTCTTCCTACCAGTAGTAATGCCCTTCGCTACCAGTAGCTTCTTGCTACTACTAGTTACTAAGTTACTAGTAACTTCTTGCTGCTAGTAATAATTCCCTTTGTTACTAGTAGCTTCTTGCTGCTAGTAGTAATGCCCTTTGTTAATAGTAGTGCCATTTGCTACTAGTAGTAATGCCCTTTGTTACTAGTAACTTCTTGCTACTAGTAGCAATGCCCTTTGCTACTACTAGTAGCAATGCCCTTTGCTACTTGTATCTTCCTGCTACTAGTAATAATGCCCTTTGTTACTAGTAGCCTCTTGCTACTAGTAGTAATGTCCTTTGTTGCTAGTAGTCTCTTGCTACTAGTAGTAATGCCCTTTGTTACTAGTACCTTCTTGCTACTAGTAGTAGTGCCCTTTGTTATTAGTAGCCTCTTGCTACTAGTAGTAATGCCCTGTGTTACTAGTAGCTTCTTGCTACTAGTAGTAATGCTAGTTTATTTCTACTAGTAGAGACGCCCTTTGTTAGTAGTAGCTTCTTGCTACCAGTAGTAATGAGCTTTGCTAGTAGTAGCTTCTTCCTACCAGTAGTATCGCCCTTCGCTTCCAGTAGCTTCTTGCTACTAGTAGTTACTAAGTTACTAGTAACTTCTTGCTGCTAGTAGTAATTCCCGTTGTTACCAGTAGCTTCTCCCTACTAGTAATAATGCCCTTTGCTACTAGTAGCTTCGTGCTACTAGTAGCAATGCCATTTGTTACTAGCAGCGTTTTGCTACTAGTAGTAATGCTCTTTGTTACTAGTAGCTTCTTGCTACTAGTATTTATGCCCTTTGTTGCTAGTAGCTGCTTGCTACTAGTAGTAGTGCACTTTGTTACTAGTAGCTTCTTATAATGCTCCTTGTTACTAGCAGCCTTTTGCTACTAGCAGTATTGCCCTTTGTTACTAGTAGCTTTTTGCTACCAGTAGTAAGGCCCTGTGTTACTAGTAGCTTCTTGCTACTAGTAGTAAGGCCCTTTGTTATTGGTAGCTTCTTGCTACTAGTTGTAAGGCCCTTTGTTACTAGTAGCTTCTTGCTACTAGAATAACGCGCTTTGCTACTAGTAGCTGCTTGCTACTAGCAGTAACGCCCTTTGTTACTAGTAGCTTCTGGCTACCAGTAGTAATGCCCTTTGATACTAGTAGCTTCTTGCTACTGCTAACGCACTTTCTTACAAGTAGCGTTTTGCTATCAGTAGTAGGGCCCATTCTTACTAGTAGCTTTTTGCTACGAGTAGTAAGGCCCTTTGTTACTAGTAGCTTCTTGCTACAAGTAGTACGGCCCTTTGTTACTAGTAGCTTCATGCTACCAGTAGTAATCCCTTTTGTTACTAGTAGCTTCTCGCTACTAGTAGAAATGCTCTTTGTTACTAGTAGCTTCTTGCTACTAGTAGTAATGTCCTTTGTTACTAGTAGCTTTTTACTACTAGTAGTAATGCCCTTTGTTACTAGTAGCAAGAAGCTACTAGTAGTAATGCCCTTTGTTACTAGTAGCGTCCTGCGACTAGTAGTAATGCCCTTTGTTACTAGTAGCCCCTTGCTACTAGTAGCAATGCCCTTTGTTACTTGGAGCTTCTTGCTACTTGTAGTAATGCCCTTTGTTACTAGTAGCTTCTTGCTACTAGTAGTACGGCCCTTTGTTACGCCCTTTACTACTAGTAGCTTCTTGCTACTACTAGTACGGGTCTTGCCCTTTGTTACTAGTAGCTTCTCGCTACTAGTAGTACCGCCCTCTACTTGTAGCTTCTTGCTACTTACTAGTAGTAATTCACTTTGTTACTTGTAGTCTCTTGCTACTAGTAGTAAGGCCCTTTGTTACTATATAGTAGCTTGATGCTACTACTAGTGATGTTCCTTGATACTAGTAGTTTCTTGCTACTAGTAGGAATGCCCTTTGTTACTAGTAGCTTCTTGCTACTAGTAGTATCGCCCTTTGATACTGTTACTAGTATCTTCTTGCTACTAGTAGTACGGGTCTTTGTTACTAGTAACTTCTTGCTACTGAAAGGGAGGCCCTTTGTTACTAGTAGCTTTTTGCTACTAATAGTAATGCCCTTTGACACTAGTAGCTTCTAGTAGTGGTGCCCGTTTGTTACTAGTATATAGCTATTTGTTACTAGTAATAATGCCAGGAACTACTCGTAGCTTCTTGATGTTATCTTTCAGGAAGCATTGCTTTTGTAAAAGGCCCCCCTGCTAGGCTTGTTAAGGCCCCTACGATTCTAGAGTCTAGAGCAGGCCTTGACCATCGCCTTGGAAGAAACCACTGAAACGTGGGGGCAATGTGCATTTGTTTAGGCCCGCGCTCCTGTGCTCCTGCGCGCAAGCGATCTCCCACCTGGTGGCCATTAGAACTATTTTGTTACAATCTCAAGAAAGTACGTACTGAGATTCTCGAAGCGCTCCGATTGATTGCACTCCGATTCTTGTCCAAAGGGCGTCATCAGCAGAAATTGGGCTGAGGTGTCCAACCGACCAAGGGCAAGCCTGTCACAATTAGGCTGAAGGCCTCGTGCAGGGCGTCATCATGTTTTACCTAGGTGCGGAGGAATAAATTCTGTAATCAATGTCTCGCTTGGATTTGCTTCACTGAGGCTTTCAGGAATCCGATGGTTTTGGCATTCTTTGACTGGCCAGCCCTACAACGTGAGTTGCTTCCTCTTGGCGTGGGTCATGCTGAACTTTGGGATGTGCATTCCATGGTTGCCAGCCGCCATTGCATCTCAGGACTGCCTTGACTAAAGGGCGCCCCCTCCCCCTCAATTAAGGGAATGGCACCCTATGAAGCGCCGCCAGTCTGTCTAAACTTAAACTGATGGTGTGTGTGTGTGGTCGAAGAGGGGTCAATTTAGACGCTGCGGTCGATATTTATATATATACAGTATAGAAATAGTATATAACATAACAGCAATTGTATTTTTTACACTCTTCAATTCAGACTCCAGTTCTGCATCCTCGCTTGCTTTCCAGCTCGGCTCTTTCTCCTTCCGTTCTTGTGTTTTAGTTCGCAGGTGCGTCAAGCAGACTTTCCCAGCGTTGCCGTGCCCATGTGCTGCATCTTGTGATTTTGGGAAACACTGGGCCCCTAGTAGCGAACATTGCTCCTATTAGTAGTACGGCCAGGAGCCCCTAGTAGCGATGCCAAGAGCCCCTAGTAGCGTCCGTGCTCCCTTGAGGCCTTTTTCTTGTCTTGTGTCTTGACCAGGTTTGTTTCGTTTCATTTTGTGTGTGCCTCTGGGAAACGATTTGGGTACTATAGACTATAGGTGCTCCAGGAATGGTGGATCTTTGAATTGAAGTTGCTTGGGGCCATTTGGGGCATATGACTATGACACAGCAATTTCAATGTCAATCTTTGCCTTACTGTTCTCATTGATCTCTTCTCCCAGTTCTTGTTGTCAGAGAGCTATGGCTATCGTCCATGATATGGGTTGCGGCCGCATATGCACATTCTCTCATGCATCGCGAAAGCAATGTCTGGTTTGATTCCGGTTCCTCACCATTGGAAGTTGTGTTTCTTGCTCCATAGCCACAAATGACTCGGTTGCCAGATAATTATGGGCACGATCTACACTTTCGCGGTGAAGGCGGCGACGGACATGAGCTAAGTTGTTGGCCTCAGGCGCTTTTTGATTTTCAATTCATCGTCATTTGTGTAGCGTTTCCACTTCCTTCGCCGATGAACACAAGTCCAAGCTAGTAAGGACATGAACCTCTTCTACTCTCTTGGTGATTCACAGGTCTTCCTGGCCATGCTGCTTCGTTGAATATAATGCAAGACAGTCCATGGGTGGTGATCGATGTCGCAATCGGGTTCGGGTTTGGTGGATGGCTTGTAGATCAAATGCCACAGGCAGCTCAACCCCCGTTAAGTTTGCTGCACTTGAAGTGTCCGTTTTGCAACTTCATGAGAAACCATGCGTCCAAGAAATCCATTCCATCCAGCACCCAGGCAAAGGGTGGCCAACCGGCCAACGTCTTCACAGACTAAAGACAACTCAGGTTGTTTTTCACAGACACACAGAGTTCAGATGAATTTTCTTCACACCAGCTGCGTGTTGTGTTCTCTATGGTCTTGTCTCGGGTTGATCAAGGTATAAGGAAATGCAACTTGTGTCGTTGTTCAACGTCAGCTTATTGAGAAGGAGACAGGGCTCTCTGAAAGGAGGTAGGTTGGTTTTGCTAGCAAAGTAAAGGGCTTGGACATCTCCATGAAGGCAAATAAGGTTTCTTAAGTGGTTTGTTACTTTCGCTATCTCAAGAAGAACGGGTCCCCTGAGACAAATGGTGCACTTTGAGGATCCTGCCAAATGAATTATGAATTTGCCATTCATGTGAGCAAGGGCCACAACATCTTATGAAGAGTTTTTGAGGTAACCCACCATTGTCTTTGTAAAGCTTAGCCATTACTGCGTGTGGCGATAGGGAACCCTGAAGAGCCATACCTGTTCCAGGAATACTCCAATGATACTTCGACATGTTTTGGACAAACATGGGTTTTAGAGCGATACCCGAACCAATACCAAGTGGCACGCCCGGTACCTGGAGCGACACCTCAGGAGTCTAGTCCTAGCCACCTCCCTACGTATAGAGTCACAACTCACTAACGCTACTAGTGTTTCCTCATGCCACCTAGCAAAGAGCTTGTCGAAGGTTTTTGCAATTTGTTGAAACAATGGCTTACGCGTGCTAGCTCCTAAGAGGAACCACAAAGAATCCTCAGGTTTGAGAGAGATTGTGGGGTTCTTTCATTTTTATTTGGGACTGTATGGCTGCAATTATGGAGCAATAGGGAACCTTGAAGAGCGATACCATGGCAGAATGGCTCGCATGTTTTGACCGCTGCACATGTGACCTCGTGTCCTACCCCTTTGTTCTGAATGAATCTACATACAAGAATGTGCTTCCTTCTTTGCCTAGCTGGCCCTCTGCAGGGCACTTTCCCCAAAACAGAGAACCAAGCGCAAGTCCACCCAGGCAAGTGCTTTGCAGAAATGCGGATTCCCTTGGCTGTGTGCTTGGGGGTTTTGTGGCATTCGCTCTTTATGAGCTAGAGCCTTTGGGCCCCTTCCTCCTGACCGGTTCCATCTCCGCCTTTGCCTTTGTCGTCTACACCACAAGCACCATGTCAGGATTTCAGACACATATTGCTGGTATGCGGTGCCCGGTGCTAGTATATATATAATATACTCTATTTTTGATACAAGCTTTAGTGCCCCTCAGGCTGTCCGATGCAATGTCTCCCAGGTTATACCGAACACTACCTAATGTTGAGACTGACGCATGCTCGATTCAATTGATCCCATACGTATGCAATAAAGCAGACATGAGTTCAAAGGCCTTGCCTTGGAGCTGGCCATAATATACATGTTCCACCACTACTGTCACTGTTTCTGGAAGCGTCACTGCGAATAGGAAAGCAACAAAGCTCCTATTTCATCCTATTTCCACAATTCGATGCACTTCTGCAGTCACCAGATTGCTCATGCAGGCATGTGCTGTCGCGTTGGCTTTGGGACCGACATCGAAACCGCTGAAGCCCAGCGCTCTCGCAGGAAGGGCTTGAGGCGAGTGAGCACCTGGAAGAGTCAAAGAAGTGTGGTCAATAGGAAGCCCGAAGATGAAACAATTTAGATGAATTGCTGTGGATGAGGTCTCTCATTCACTCAATGGATGCGCGTATTAGGCACAGCGAAGAACTCGCGGTGGTTGTTGATTGACACGGATCTCACAGCACTTACCTGCGAACTAGCCATTTTTTTGTGGGCAGGCCCCGCTGACATATGTAACTAGTTACTGAATTATATGCCTACATACTTATAGGGCGACTGCTTCTTTAAACAAGAGGGCCACCAAGTAGGTCCCCCACTCAGCAGTCATAAGGCTGTCAGAATATATATATATATATGAAGTATGGTATACATATATATATATATCACATATAATGTATATATATGTTATAAATGTGCCACGTCAAACGAAATGGACCGTTGCACATTTTGCACAGGGATGCATTTTGGCAGCCCTGGCTTGCAACACTTGAAATTCCTTCCCTCAGTAATGAGACTCTAGCCCCGTTATTGGGCAGATGATGAGGGCCGGGGGGTCAATCAACAGCAAAGAAATTGAACGACTGCCTCAGCCACCTCAAAGATGTGGCAAGTCAGATATGCTCCAAGGACATGTGTTCAACAAATTCACGCCTACGTTTCTTTTCAGTTAGTTTTCCCTTGTCACCACAAGAACAAACATAGTGTTATAACATATCCTTCTACTTATATCATTATGTTCTGTGCCGTGCGGCTTTTGTGCATTGGGTTTGTACGGACGCTATGTGCAAATTAAATTGTAGTCCTTTGAGCTTTGTGTCTCACTCTTTGTGATTATCCTGTCTCGTGCCAAATGACTTAGAAAGTCTGAAGAGGCAGTGCGACCTGCTTGTGACTTAAGTGTTTCCTGAGTGCCGAGGGTGCATGTTTGCCGTCCTGGCTTTGACTGGAAGATCCAAGTCAAAGCCAGGAATGCGAGGCATTCTCGCCAAGACTCGCATTGGTCACAGCATTTGTCGGTCACAGGGCCTGCAGCTATGTTTATTGGTTGTTTCTGTGTGCACAGGGCCGTACTTGTTTGATGTTCCTAAATGTTCTATCATTGTTAAAAGCTTGTTGGCCCTTGCTCGGCCCGACCTCAAAAAGGTTTTGGGTCAGCGTATTCAGACATTACAATTATCCGTGACGCCGGCAAAACAGCTGACAGAGTGTCCCTCCTACCAAGCATCAGTCAGACCAAGTTGGACCTTGCACCGTTTGTGCATGAAACATTACGCAAGTCAAGTTTTTCAATAGCATGTCAATAGTTACACTAATGTTTATGAAAACGCATAGATGTCAATGGGTATATGATATCGCGTCACTTGCAATTGTCTTGACTTACTGTACTATGCTCGCAAGCAAGCCAAAGTCAAGTCTTCACGGCATCCCTGCGTCATGGTCCAGGGTCTTCCAAGATTTCCCTCCTAAATTGCAATGCCAAGCTGCTGTGGTTTGTGGGACTTGTACCATGTGCTGGTGAACCTGCAGCCCGGCACCGATTAATGTGAGAAGGTAATAGCGCGTTGGAGGGAGAGCCATTCAAGTCATTCCAATCAGCTGTTCGGTCAGCCGACCCCGTGATACCCCATCATTTACCATTAATTTCCTTCCGTGCCCGTCCCACTTGCTTCATGCAGCACATCTCAGGTGGGGCCGGAGGCACTGTGAGGTGCAGCTTCTTGATGCACCTTGTTGGAAGCAACCTTGAAAATCCGTCCTGAACTTGTTCGCCTTCGTTCGGCCAACCCAATCATGCGCTGTGATGATTGCAAGGTATGCATGTGGCGAGATTGTAGGGGCATTTCGATCGGAATGGTCCTTAACTTTTGTGACTTGTTCTTAATCCTGACTGATCTGGCTGGCTTGGCTACAAGCAGCTAATTCAGGCCTGGCCTAGAGCCTAGTGAATAAAAAGCAGCAAGACAGCCGCAACGGTCTTCGCCCATCTTGGGAAAGCCAAAGAAAGGGCTAGAGTAGCTGAAGTGCTTTGGGGCATGTGCATGTGCGCGCCCAGCTAGCTTCACCTCACTGAGCTTGAGGCTGTTTGCATGGGCCGTGATAAGTGGCTGGGTGGCGAACTGGGTCAAGATGGCTGCGTGTATGGCATTCCAGGAGGGATGATGTCATGTCGTGCTTTTTGGAAGTCATGGCATTCCAGGTTTGCTTAGTCTGCATGGCTAACAACAGCAAGCTTGAGGATACCCGATAGGCTCGAATGTACGTGCGGATCTTGAAACAGAACGCACAAAACGAGAAGTGTACAACTAGGTACACAAGACCACAGGCTTAACTGCCTGCGTGTTTGGCTCAAGAAAACAGGACCGCTTTTCGTGAAGCATGGGTTATGAGCCCAAGCGGTCAGCGGCGCCATGACATCCATGTTGAGCCGGCGACGATCTGCATCCAAGGAGAGACAGCAAACAGCCGATGAAAGGCTGGATGAGCTGCTGGCACAACAAACGCCAGCCAGACGCACACAGAGCGCGGAGCCTAGCGCTCGAAGACCGGCCTTGGTGAAGAGCACACGCCAAGCTCCAGCCGCAGGGACACCAGGAGGGGCAAGGACGGATCCTCGGACCACGGGTGCGGAGACGGGCCAACGGCAGTTGGAACCACCGCCTGGCACTATGTTGGCAGGACTACTTCCACCTCTACCTGGAGGAGGTCTTCTTGGTAGCGGGACTATGGCGGCTGCGGAAGTGATGCAAGGTCAGCTCAGGGGTCAACTGCCTGGTGGGTGGTCGGTTCTACAGGGCCCGTATCCCGGATGCGTCAGGACAGTTGCCCATCCTTCCAGGACGTCGTGAACGTGAGGGAGGAGCGCTGGCGGAAGGGGCTTCAACGTCAAAAGCGGAGCTATCTCATGGTGATCGAGAACGCCAACGTGGGGGACCTCAGCCTGATCAAGCTCTTCGTCCTTGCCGTGTTCCGGGCCCCGTTCCTGAACTTGGAGGACAGCATGGGCGTGATTTGGTGGCCGTGGGTGCCATGTCGAGGCAACAATCGCCTGGTCTGCCGAAAAGATCAAGCAGACCATGAATCCCCCGCAGAGCCAAAGCCAAGAGGCGGGTGAAACCGTTGAACTTTTACGCCAACGAGTTCTCCGTGATGCCGAACAGCGTTTTGCTGATGGTGTGCGACAGCTGCTGGGAGGAGGCAATCCGCCTTCCGATGCTTCGTTCAAGACGGCCGCGGAGACTGGAGGCGCAACACAAGGGGATGGGAAGCAGCAGGTGCCAGAAACCGAGGGACCACGGCAGCCTTCGGGAGCTGGAACACAGGTGGCTTCATCCTCAACTATGACTACAATGGTGGTGTTCCGGCTCCTGGAGGCAATCTTCCTGGACCTGGACCCGCTCAAGGACCTGGACCTGGAGTATGTTTCCCTTGGCCATATCCCCCTGGAATTCAGTTTGGACCAGGCGGATGGGGCGCTACCGGGCTATCGCCCAATGGTGGTGGAGGTGGCGGAAACTATGGACCTGGCCTGGTTGGTGGTGCCCCTATGTATGGTGGCAGTGAGGAATCGGTCAATGAGACCTTTCGGAGTGTGGAATTGCCTGCACTTCCTTCGGACGCCAACGCACTGTCTTTCGGTGATTGGTTAGCCACGATCCAGCCTTTGATTGCGGACGTGAGTGTGTCGGCGGAGGAATGGTGGGCCGTGACCTTGAAGGGAGTTGATGAGCTGTATACCCAATGGTTGGCTTCAGATCCTCTTCAACGTCTTCGGTTGGACACTGGCACTTCATCGGCGGCTACAAGGTGGCCTAGGACCGAACGGAGGATGACCAGTTTGTTGTTGCAGGCGGTCCCCGACAACATCAAGGCGGAGGCTGTGGCTGCGAGGAAGCTGAGCGTGACCCATTTGTTGTTCACGCTGTTCGTCAAGTTCCAACCTGGCGGACAAGGTGAGAGGGTTACTCTCATCCGGTTGTTGACGGAGCTCAAAACTACGGGCTCTATGGTTGAACTGGCGCAGAACCTGCGTCAATGGCGGAGATGGTGGAATCGGGCTCAGGAGTTGGCGGTGATGTTGCCAGACCCTGTCATCTTGGCGGGTGTTTTGACTCGGGCCTCGGACGCCATTGCCAAGTCTGGTGCGCAAGCTGCATACCGGTTGTCGGTGTGCAGGCAACTTGGACTCCATCAAAACCTTCGCGGAGCTGCTGCAGGCCGAGACCGAAGAGCAGGCGTTCGGCGCTGGAGGAATTGGGGGAGCGGGAAAAACGACCGTTCCGTTTGTGAAGGCAGCAGCTTTGGGGGCTTCATCAACGACGGCGACTTCGGCGACGGTGAATGCGCAGGAGTCCAAGGCCGCTGGGGTGGAGTTCAAGGGCGACTGTCGCTTTTGGTTGTCGGACAAGGGGTGTCGACGAGGTGATCGATGCAAGTTCAAGCATGGCACCCTTAGCCCTAAGGAAAATCGGCGCTTCTTCTGTTCCGGCCTCAACCACACGCGGCGTGACTGTCCGTATGTGAAGAAGGAGTTCGGGAAGGAGGGGAATGTCAAGGTGGCTAAGGTGCAAGGGGTGACTCGCAGCCTTCCTCGCCGGAAAGGGAGCCACCAAAAGTGAAGGTTGAAGAGGCCACTGGAGCTTCGGGGAAGAAGACTGAGGCGGAAGGCGGTTCCGGAGCTGCAGGGGGTCCTATGCCGAGCAAGTCGGGGTCCATTGACACCTTGATGGGGGAGGCATCGGCTTTGTTGAAGTCATTGCGGAGTGTTAAGGTCAAGGCCATCAAGCTCAAGTTCATGGACGTGGGTGGCAACTTGGATATGGGCACCGCACTGGGGCTTTTGGATGGTGGTGCAACTCACCCCCTTCGTCAAGCTCTACCTGGTGAACTGGGTTCATGTGGAGTTGGCACATGGCTCAATCATGCTGCACCAAGACCCGGTGACGGGTACATTGTTGTCGGCCGACGCGGCGGAGCCCATCGTGCCGGTCAGAGGGTTGATTGAGCTGGGCTACAAGATGGTGTGGTCCAGGAGTGGTTGTGCCCCCAAGGGGAAGATCGTTTCTCGCCTTCGTGAAGGTTGTCCCGTGGTGCTGGAGGAAGATGCCCTGCTGCTCATCCGGGAGATCGAGGAGGTGGAGAGGAAAAAACATGACGATGTCTACCGGGAGGAGAACTTGGAGGAGGAGCTGCTGACTTGGTGGAGCCAACGCTTCCCTGAGGTTCCTGCCAGGATCTTCCGGTACATGACGGAGGAGCACGATTTTGGTGGTCCATGGAATCGACGGCAGCGACGACGTTTGCTGGCGGCTAAACGTGTGGTGCTTCATCTCTTCGCGGGGGAAAAGGCCGACGAGTGGGAGGAGCTCAAAAAGTATGATTGCGAGGTCATCACCTTGGACATCATGCACAACAAGTCGCAGGACCTGCGCAACCCGGTGTTGTGGGCTTTCTTGATGCGCCTGGCCAGGCAAGGGACTTTGGCAGCCATCATAGGTGGACCCCCGTGCCGAACAGTGTCGAGGCTGCGATTCAGGCGACCAGGCCCAAGGCCACTTCGAAATCGAGGAGCACATCGTTTTGGGTTACCGAACCTAAGCGTTGCAGAGCAGCGGTTGGCGGACCACGACGCGGCCCTCGTCATCAAGCAGGTTGGACTCTATCTGGCCGCGGAAGAAAGCAAGGTGGAGTTGGGTGGACCAAAGGGCACTAATACGGGCTTTCTCTTGCAGTCTCCAGCGGACCCGGCCAAGATGGTGGGGGATGGTGGGCGAATGCCGTCCTTCTGGAGTTGGCCGGAAGTTTTGGGTTTGTTGGAGGAGGAGTCCATGGGAATGGTCACCCTATAGGTGCCGTGGGGCACTTCAAAAAGAAACCAACATCGCTGCTCACCAACATGCCAGGGATGATGGAACTACATGGACTTCGAGCTCGAGGTGATGATGAACCCCTTCCTGATGACCTACAAGCCAGCATTCAGGCATCAAAGTCTTGGTCTTTGTGGGCGCCAGGATTGAGAGCGGCCATCAAGGAGTCCCTCCGGTGTGTGTTGGAGCAGGGTGAGAAGCAACAACGAAGGATAGCCAAGCTGTCTCAAAAGGAAAAGGACATGTGGGCGACGCACTTTCGCCAAGGTCATCGACCCTTTCGCAGGGACTGCAGGCTTTGCATTGAGCAGGCAGGAACCCAAAGACCGCATCGACGTCGAGGAGACACCCAAAGAATGTCATCGGCATGGTCCGTGGCGGTGGACATCGTGGGCCCGCTATCTATGGCACGGGATGGCGCTTCAGGGCGGGGTGTTCGCTATGCTATGATCGCGGTGGCATTGGTCCCGGACTTCAACGCGGTGGCGGAGGATGACGTGGCGGAGAAGGACGTTGCGGAGGAAAACGCGGCGGAGAAGGACGTCGCGGAGAATGAGAAGGCGGAGGATCAACGTGATTACACCCAAGGAGGACCCTACGCCGGAGAGGGTGGTGGCATCAGAACCGGGGGAGGATGTGGGGGTGATGGAGGAGGAACAGGACATCATGGATCCGACCCATGACTATGACTTTGAGGCGGAGCTCCAGACATGTCAACGTGGAGTCCCTCTGAAGCACGTGACCTGCATGGAGGTGCTGGAATCCCGGGCCAAGGCGGAGGTGATTGTCGGCTTGCAGAAGCTGATCACAAAGTATAAGGCCATGGGGGTAGCGGTGAACCGCTTGCACACCGACAGGGCGAAGGAGCTCATCAGCAAACAGGTGCTGGGATGTCCCGCGAAGATCTTATTGGTTAGAAGAGTTATAAATGGTTAGATAAGTTCCAATAAGCTAGTTATAAGCTCTAGTAAGTAGGTTATAACTTCTAGTAATGGTTTATAACCTCTCTAACCACTTCTAGGTTTGAGGCTAACCTCTATAAACTTTATATCGTTTATCTAACCTCTTAGCTTGTTTGTTAGAGGTTAGCCACTTCAACAAACCCTAGGTTACTAAGTGGTTAGCTGATTTGCTAACCATTTAGCTTAAGGGTTAGCTGGTAAAGCTCTCCGAGGACTGAAAAATGTGGTGTCGGTGACTTTTTGGTCACCAAGTCTCACCACAACATGTTTGAATGTTTTTTGAATTGAAAAAGTTATATGTTTCAGTTGAAATATGTTGTATTTG